TCCTCCTCCTCCTCCTCCTCCTCTGATTTGACTGCAGGAGGAGGCCACAACATGAAGACAATTAACCAATATGGAACAGCTTGCCTTCAGAAATCGTGGGCGCTCCATCACTGGAGGTTTTTAAGAAGAAACTAGACAGCCACTTATCTGAAATAGTATAGGTTCTCCTGCTTGAGCAGGGGGCTGGACTAGAAGACCTCCAAGGTCCCTTCCAGTTCTGTTCTAATTCTAAATGGAGGTAGTCCTTGATTTGAAACCACAATCGAGCCCAAAATTTTCTTTGTTAAGCAAGACAATTGCGAGGCAGCTGTGAAGTGAGTTTTGTCCCATTTTACAACCTTTCCTTGCCACGGCGGTTAAGTTAATCCCTATGGTTGTTAAGTCAGTAACATGGTTGTTAAGTGAATCTGGCTTCCCCGCCGACTTGGCTTGTCAGAAGGTGATTCGCAGGACACTGCAACTATCATAAATATAAACCTGGGGCCAAGCATCTGAATTTTGATCAGGTGACCACAGGGGGGATGCTGCAACGGTCATCAGTGTGAAAAGCAACCATAAATCACTTTTTCCTGTGCCGTTATAATTTCAAACGGTCACTCAATGAATGGTTGAACGTTGAGACCTACTCGTATGGATAAAAAGACATCTGAAAGACAGAATCTGAGTTTGATTGGCAGAAATCCTTTTCATTTGCCTTTCACTACTAAAATAACCGTCATGTCCCTGTTGGAATCTGATTCTGAGGGGGAGTTCGAACAGCTGACAGGGAGTGGGAGTGTGGCTCCGGTGGCTGTGGAGGAAACTGGGGAAGGTCACAGACTGGCTGGGCATTTAGAGGAAGACCTAGGCCCACCCCCTCTTCATCCTAGGGCACTCAGGGAGCAAAGGAGAAGGGAGCAACGTGAGTTGTGTGGTTTACGGGAGAGGAAAGGGCCCTGATCCCCTTCATTGACTGCAGCTGGGAAGACTGTTTAAAAGGCCAAACTGCGCAGGGCAAAGTTTAAAAGGCCAAACTGCGCAGGGCTGGAAGCAAAGCGTGAAATTATTTTGATTTGTCAAGTCTTATCTGAGTTCTGGCGTCTTCCCAAGTGTGTGTGTTTTGTTATTTTTTTGACGTCCTCAATCCCTTATCCTGCCCTGTCTCGTTAATTGCTGCAGTGTGGTTTGTGTTGGTTTTTACTTTTAATTTATATGTACTTTGGGTTCCGATGGAATTTCTTCCCTTTAAAAACTGTTCTTGGGAGAGTTTTTTTCTCCAGCCGATGATAACTGGACATTGAGGGCCAAGTTGGAGGAATTAAAGGGACTTTACCTATTTTTGTTACTTTGTTGCTTTTGTGCCACGCCCCGGTCATCATAATAACACGGCCCTTGCCATTAAACATCTGTGTCTGCCACATCTAAAGAATACTTAAATCGCTTAGAGAGATATTATAATCAGATCCATGCCGACAGAGCCTTTCAAATCTGGGTGGCCTATTTTCAGTACGAGCCATCAGAAATTTAAATAGCACAGCTTACTTCGGTTTTCATGACGGATACTGGGTTACGGCTCTCTAGACTGTTGGAGGAATGGGGGTACCTTCTGAAACTGCACCCCATTTAATTTGATCTTACTGCGTTCAATTATTTTGCAGGAGGACTGGAGTAAAATAGGCCCTTGGGCAAACGGTGCAGCCCTGAGACTTTCGGTAGGGGCATGCCATAGCTTGCTTTGCATCATTTGCCGTTTTAAATTGTCATTCATCCTGCTTTCATCTTACCAAGCGATTAACTCACGCTCAGGATAAGAAGGTTCTAACGTTGCAAAGGGGAATACTGAAGATTTTAAACAGAATAACAGAGTTGGGAAGGGAACTCAGAGGTCTTCTAGCCCAACCCTCTACTCAAGCAGGAAACCCTATACCATTTCAGACAAATGATTGTCCAATATCTTCTTAAAAATCTCCAGCATTGGAACACCCACAACTTTTGAAAGCAAGTTGTTCCTCTGGTTTATTGTTCTGTCAGGAAGTTTCTCCTGAGTTCTAGGTTGCTTCTCTCCTTGATTAGTCTCCATCTGTTGCTTCTTGTCCTGCCTTCAGGGGCTTTGGAAAATAGGTTGACCCCCCTCTTCTTTGTGGCAGCCCCTGAGATATTGGAGGTGGCATGCAGAGCCATTTGTGCCAGCACACGAGCTGCAGGCAAACTTACCTCACTGTGTATGCACTGCGCCTCACAGCTGATTTTCGGCTGGTTTCCAAAGGCTTGAGGAAGACTTCTGCAGGCTTCTGCAAGCTTTGCAGGCCGAAAACTAGCCCCAAAGGCTTGAGGAAGCCCCCAGAAGCCTTCCTCAAGCCTTTGGGAGGCCGAAAAAGGCCTCAAACCGGCCAAAAATCAGCTGTGAGGTGCAGTGCAAGTAAGGGGGGGGCAGCAGGTGGGTGGGCGGGTGAGGGATTGAGCGCGCATGCCTAGGGGGCGTGGGGGCGCGCATTGCCTTCTGGGTGCTGGCACGCGAGCGTGAGCGTGCAAGTGCACGCACAATTTTTAGCACAGGAGTCCAAAAAGGTTAGCCACCACTGGACTAGATCTACCCAATTCCTGCAACCATTCTTCACCTATCTTAGCCTGCAGTCTTCTAATCGTCTTTGTTGCTCCTCTCTGCACTCCTTCCAGAGTCTCTCTACTTCTATCTTTTTTATATTATGGCAACTGAAACTGAATGCAATCTTTCAAGCACACATACAACATAGCAATGACAGATGTCTGCAGGCGAGGCGTGCATATACTATATCATATTGTGCTCAACATTTTTGTACTTATTTTTAAACTACCGGTGCAAAGTTTCCTGCACTGGTGCTGGAACAGGTGGCTGGCCTTTCATTAGCCTGCTTTTGCACGACAAGTCAATCATAAAAATGAGGGGGAAATACTGAATTGAGAACTTGTCGGGAGGTCATCATAATTATTTGCATAATTATTTGCAAGGAAACCAGGATGGACACTGTTCTCCTGGCCTGAAACTGAACTAACAGGTAAGGCTGTGGCCTCTTTTGTTGTTGTTAGTCGTGAAGTCGTATCCGACCCATCGCGACCCCATGGACAACGTTCCTCCAGGCCTTCCTGTCCTCTACCATCCTCCGGAGTCCATTTAAGCTCATCCCGACTGCTTCAGTGACTCTATCCAGCCCCCTCATTCTCTGCCGTCCCCTTATTCTTCTATTGCCCTCAATCGTTCCCAGCATCAGGCTCTTCTCCAGGGACTCCTTCCTTCTCATGAGGTGGCCAAAGACTTTGAGTTTCATCTTCAGGATCTGGCCTTCTAAAGAGCAGTCGGGGTGGTATTCAATTTTTTTTTTTACTACCAGTTCTGTGGGCGTGGTGTGGCGGGCGTGGTATGGCTTAGTGATGTGGCTTGGTGGGCGTGGCAGGAGAACATTACTGCAAAATCCCCCTCCCCTCCCCACCCCACTAACCTGCTTCCCAGCTCCGTTCTCCTGTGCAGGGCAACCAAAGAAGATCCAGCCGATCAGCTGGGACTCAATGGGAGGCAGGAATAGATGGGGTTGGCGGGGCCAGTCAGAGGTGGGATTGGCCGGTTCTCTCAACTACTCAAAATTTCCGCTACTGGTTTTCCAGAATTGGTCAGAACCGGCTGAATACCACCTTGGATTTAGGGTTGATCTCTTCTAGGAGTGACCGGTTTGATCACTTTGCAGTCCAAGGAACTCTTATTGTCTAAAAAAGGAGCACTGTTTACCTTAGGTGAGGTTTATAAAAGCACTGAGAAAGCTAACTAAAAGTCCGAAGTCTGAATAAGTACTGAGTGTACCTATGTATAGCAAGGAGGTATTTCACAAGGGAGGAAAAAAAAACCAGATCAAATGTAAACTTGGTGAGTGAAGCAGGGAAAAGTATTCTCAATCAGAGGTAAGGGACCTGCAACCTAGATCAGGGTTCGCCAACCTTTTGGATATCAGGGACCACCAAACTCCTAATTTTAAATCCCGCGGACCAGAGAACCTGGGAAAATCCCAAAAAAAGTCTGCAGGAAAATTCCCCACCCCATTTTCCTACCGATCGATTGTTCTTTATTTGGGAACTCAGGATACCATTTCCAGCTCTGTTCTCGGGGAGAGAGAGAGAGACTTTTGGCTTCATGCAAGAGAAGCAGCAGAAGTCTTTCTTTCTCTCTGCCAAACTCCGCCAGAAATGAGTCTTTGTGAGACTTGTTGCGCTGATGCAGCCACTTGGAGCAGAAGGCCTTGCAGGGCCCCAAAGACTCATTTCTGGCGGAGTTTGGGGGAGAGAAAGGAAGACTTTTGCTGCTTTCCTTGTGTGCAGCCAAAAGCAGAAGAAGAAAGAAGCAGAAAGAAGCAGCCTGGTGGCCAGGCGAGGTGTGTGGAGCGCGTGGGGCAAGCTCCCCCCTCTGTCCTTCCCCCCTCCCCTCACTACTTCGTGTTGTTTGTAATGCAAGCGACGCAGCCCTTGCGTTCCTGTGGGCCATGTGGGCGGCGCAGCCTTGTGTTCCCACGCAACCTGGATTAATTACTTTGGGGGTGATATTTCTCTGCGGACCACCACAATTTTCTCGCGGACCACCAGTGGTCCCCCTGGCTTACTGGTTGGCGACCGCTGACTTAGATGACATCAGATTCAATGCTGTCATCTGCTAATTCTCCGTGCTGGCTGGGACTAATGCCTGAATTTGGAGAGTCACAAATTCCTTGCCCTTCTTCCCTGCAATTGTATGCCATTCCTGAAATAGCCTAGAACAGGGGTTAGTTCCAAATCTGCATAATGGCACAGGATGGATTCTCTTGGGGCCTTTGGGTCATTTCCAGGTCACGGAGAAGCTAACAGCCTTGGTCCGTTTTTTGTTTTTTTCCCTAAACCAAAGGACAGATTACAAAACTAGCTCAACTTTTATTATTAACAAGAACTGGAGGCTTAAAAATATTCCATTTGTCGAAATGCAATCTGGATACCTCTTTGAGGGACTGAAAACCGTGCCCATGTATTTATTTGGAGAGCTTCTTCTCCTTTTCCTTGGCTTGCTCTATTTTCTTTTCCTGACATCTGATCATGGTGGACATTGCTAGAAGCAGAACGAAGGAAAGGAATGGTTGTTAGCACCACATAGGTCTGGAAGACAAATGGCATTTCTCTCATGTCACAGGTTGTGTAAAAATGGCTCTTGGGGTGGTTAAGGCACCAGGTTACAAACCAGGGGACTGTGAGTTCTAGTCTCGCCTTAGGTATGAAAGCCAGCTGAGTGACTTTGGCCCAATCACTAGGAGACTGGGAATTCTAGTTCCACTTTAGGCATGAAAGCCGGCTGGGTGACTTTGGGCCAATCACTAGGAGACAGTGAGTTCTAGTCTTGCCTTAGGTGTAAAAGCTGGCTGGGTGATTTTTGGGCCAATCTCTCTCTTTTAGCCACACTCATAGCCTCACACATCGTTGGGAAAATAGGCGGTGGAAGAAGTATTAGGTATGTTCACCACCTTGAGTTATTTGTAAAAATAATAAAGGGGAGGGGGGATACAAATAAATAAAAATATTTTTTTTTCTCTACTCCTCATGTGGGGCAATAGGAAAAGACTTGTAGGCGAGCACCCTCTGCAGGATCTCCTCTCACCTGGAGCAATCTTTTTCCAGATGTAAGATCTACCTTCCTCAGGGAGCTTTTAAAAGTATGCTTTTTCCCCCAGGAAGCAACAGGGGACTCCCTCAATTTATAGGCGCCTGAGCACACCTGGCACCGTGGTTTTATGATTGCAATACCAGAATTGTTGATTGTATTTTGCCACGTGATACACTGACATTTTGATAGCTGCGTTATGCATTGGCACGCCGATCTTGTAAGATGCTTTAAATCAGGGCTGTCAAACTCAAGGCCCGTGGGCTGGATCTCACCCAAGGGGTACTTAGATCTGACCCGTGGGGCTGCCCGGGGAACAACAAGGGACCCGCCCGCAATGCCTTTGCCATCAAAAATGGAGCTCGAGAGGGCCGTGTACGACTATCGCGAACGCCATTTTTGCTGGCAGAAGGTTGCAGGAGGCTGTCGCAGCTGAAAACGGAGCTTGGGACCCCATTTTTGCTGGCGGAGCACTCGGGCCAAAGGCAAGGACTCGCCATAAGTCACTTTTTTTCAGTTCTGCTGTAACTTTGAATGGACGCTAAACAAATGGTTGTAAGTCAAGAGTAACCAGTTCTTGCCTCGGTCAATGCATTCAATAAAAGTGGCTATAGCTATCGTCCTCTTTTAATGATCCCATAATCCCTTGCAGGGTGGAGTCTGAGCAACTGAATGGAGCTGAGTGTTTACTGGCCGGATGCCCTTCCTGTCACCAATACGGAGTTATATTCAGCAGATCCTCATCGTGCCCAGAGAGAGACGTATCTGCCTCTACCTGGGATCAAACTGCCTCCTGATTGTGAGGCAAGAGTGACATCAAGCTGGCCATGCCCCCCTGCCCCCTGAGGTCAAACACAACCCCGATGCGGCCCTCAATGAAATTGAGTTTGACACCCCTGCTTTAAATTAAATCCAATGAGAGAAATGGCAGAAAAGGACTTGTAATATATAAATACATTTCTGAAGTGGACCTTTGTCAGCTACAGACAGATGCCACAGTGGTCCTTCTTATCAGAGGTCAGGAATAGCAATTTTAGGAGGTGGCCTGAAGTTCATTTGTACTGTAAAAGCACCATGGATACTAATGAAACTGGTACAGGTAGTCCTTGACTTACGACCACAACTGAGTCCAAAATTTATGTTGCTAAGTGAGAAATTTGTTTAAAAAAACTTTGCCCCATTTTATGACTTTTCTTGCCACCGTTGTTAAGTGAATCACTGTAGTTAAGTTAATAACACAATTGTTAAGTGAATCTGGCTTCCCCCATTGACTTTGTTTGTCAGAAGTTCATAAAATGTGATCACATGACCCCGGGACACGACAACCGTCATAAATGTGAGATGATTGCCGAGCATCCAAATTTTGACTGTGATCACAGGAGGGCTGCAACCATCGTAAGTGTGAAAAACAGTCCTAAGTCACTTTTTTCAGTGCCGTTTTCATTCAAATGGTCACTAAATTAATGGTTGTAAGTCAAGGACCACCTGTATTAGATGGGGCCAGCCTTCCCTAGGGTAGTTGTGCCTGGTGAAAGCTGCTGCAAAACGAAATTCATCAGAAAGTAGAGGGTTTCCATCAGAGGTGGTATTCAGCAGGTTCTGACCAGTCCTGGAGAACCGGTAGCGCAGGAGTGGGATGCCACTGGTTCGGCCCGGTTCTATAGAACCGGTAGCTCAGAAGAGCAACAGACTCAGAACCAGTTCGCTGCGACGACCTTTTGGTCGTCTCTTTGGCCCACCCGCCCCCCTGGGCTCTTGGCTGTCCTTTATTTCCTGCTTTTTCAACCTCAGCTGTTTTGTGCGACAGAGCTGAGGTTGAAAAAGCAGGAAAGAAGAGGATTTTCAAACACTGCGCACCCGTGTGCAGCGCTTGTTAGCTGTCAGGGCGCCATTTTGAAAATGCTGTACACGCGCACGCAGCAAAACGCACTCTCACCAAACCGATAGTAACACCAGTTGAATCCCACCCCTGAGGTAGCGTAAATTTTGAGTAGTTTGAAGAACCGGCAAATCCCACCTCTGACTGGCCCCACACCCATCTATTCTCTGCCTCCCGAGTCCCAGCTTATCAGCTGAGTCTTCTTTGGTTGCCCTGCACAGGAGAATGGAACTGGAAAGCAGGTTAGTGGGGTGGGGAGGGAATGGGGATTTTGCAGTATCCTTCCCCTGCCACGCCCACCAAGCCATGCCCATCAAGCCACGCCCACAGACCTGGTAATAAAACATTTTGAATCCCACCACTGGTTTCAATTTATCTTGTCTCACCAAGCCAATCAAGATGTTTTTAAACTCCTCCAAGTGATTTCCTGCCTCGCAATACCAAAAGGACATCCTAAATGTGCCAGGGCAAAGCCCAAATTCTCCCACCTTGGTTTTTTAACTGCATTGTTTCCACAAGGTTTTGTAGATTCTCCATCTTATTCTGTAATTTCCTGCAAGCATTTTCTCTGGATTCCCCCGTCTGAATCACTAGGGATAAAATAGTCAGTCGTGTATATACTATCACAGATATAAAAAGCACACACATCCAGAGGCGGGAGGGACTGCCAGCGATGAAGGAAAAAGCACCAGTCAGCTCATGCAGTTCAGTGTATTATGAGCAACACATTATTAAACCGTAGTCGTAGGGGTGTCAAACTGGATTTCTTCCAGGATCCAGCATTGTAGTTTTCCTCCATGGGCTGGCTGTGGGGGGGGGGGGGAGAGGGAGCGAGACGGGACGGAAGCCTCCTGCAGCATTCTGCCAGCCAAAATGGCGTTCAGGGGGGCCGTGTCCCATTTTCAGCCTCCACGGCCTCCAGTAATTTGCTGGCCAAAATGGGGCATGGGGGGGGGCGTGGGTTTGTGCCCTCCCTGCAGCCCGTTTTCAGCCTCCACAGCCTCCTGCAGCCCAGCCCCCCCCCCCCGGCCCGATTTTGGCCTCCACAGTCCCCTCAGCACTCTGCCAGCCGAAAACAGGCTGCGGGGATCTGGGCGAGGCCTTCCCACAGTCCATTTTCAGCCAGCAGAGTGCTGAAGGAGGCTGTGTAGGCCGAAAATGGGCTGTGTGTGTGGGGGGACCGCATATGCCCCACCCCGTGCCCTGTTTTGGCTGGCAGAGGCACCACAGGCTGGTCCTTTGATATTTCTAGGCCGGCCCTGTGGGTCAGATCTAAGCACCTGCAGCCCGGATCCGCCCCTCAGGCCTTGAGTTTGATACTCCTGGTCTACAACATTACATTATCATTTACAAAGTCCCGGCTGTTTCCGAACCAAACTAGATTGATGGGACTGGCGGAGCCGCTCAGGTTTCTCCCCATGGAAACAAAGTTCATGGATTCCGAATACATAGTCCCCATCTTATGACCGCAGTCAGGGATCAGAATTTCCACTGCTAAACAAGGCGGTTGTTAAGTAAGCCACGCCTGATTTTACTACCTCTCTTGCCAAAGTTGTTGTGAACTGTTGCTCACAGGTAAGTGAGGAAGTGTTAAGCGAATCACTGCAGACATTAAGTGAATCACGTAGTCTTTAAGTGAATCTGGCTTCCTCCATTAATGTTACTTGTTGGAAGCTGGTTGGGAAAGTTGCAAACTGAGATCACATGATTCCTGGGTGCTGCAACCATCATAAATACATGCTGGTTGCCAACTGCCTGAATTATGACCGTGGGGATGCTACCATGTTTGTAACCACGAAGGCCAGGACTAAATCATTTTTTTTTTCAGTGCCCTTGTAATTTTGAAAGGTCTCTAAATGGATGGTTGCAAACTAAGGACTATCTATATGCATTGCTCTTTCCATGAAAAAGAAGTGTGGATATTTCCACTGCCCCTTTAAGGACCGAGGCTGCTTCATGTTATCGGCTAAGGAAGAAGAAGGCAAAATAATGTTTGACTCTCTCCATCTGTCCCTCATTCTGGGTGCTTCATCCCTGGAGGTTTTTAAGAAGAGACTGGACAGTCACTTGTCTGAAATAGTATAAGATCTCCTGCTTGAGCAGAGGGCTGGACTAGAAGACCTCGAAGGTCCCTTCCAGCTCTATTCTGCTTATGATTTTTTTTTTATATAGACCAATGTTTCCCACCCTTGGCCCCTTGAAGATGTGTGGACTTCAACTCCCAGAATTCCCATGCTGGCTGGAGAATTATGGGAGTTGAAGTCCACACAACTTCACGCAGCCAAGGTTGAGAAAAACAGTGATGTAGAATAGAATAGAATAGAATAGAATAGAATAGAATAGAATAGAATAGAAAATATGGAATGGAGTAGAATGGAATGGGAATAGAATAGAACAGAAGAATAGAATGGAATGGAATGGAATGGAATGGAATAGAATAGAATAGAATAGAATAGAATAGAATAGAATAGAATAGAATAGAATAGAATAGAATAGAATAGAATAGAATAGAACAGAATTGATTGGAAACACAAGGAATTTGTCTTGGTGTGGATGCTCTCAGTGTACATAAAAGAAAAGATACATTCCTCAAGAGTCACGAATCATCAGGTACAATACTTAATGATAGTCATAGGGTACAATAAGCAATCGAATCATACTAGGAAAACAATCAATATAGATCATAAGGATACAAGCAACAAGGTTACAGTCATACAGTCATGTTAGGGTTTGGGGATTAACCCCTAGCAGAGTATTGCAGCAGTAG